TGAATGAATGAATGAATGAATGAATGAATGAATGAATGAATGAATGAATGAATGAAATCTTATGGATAATCTCACTGTGTTTAAGAGGCACTTTCAGGGAGGCTTATACACAACACTGCAGCCTTAAGACTCTCAACAGTGGGAGTCAATTGACTCATTCAGGGAGAAGTGATACTGAGTGGACACACTACAACAAAAAATATAATATAGCATGAACAAAATTCTGTAATTGCAGAAATCTATTTATGCATAAAAACAGAGTTTTCTTTTTGATAGCCTTACTCTATATTTTTCCAATTAGGGGCAAAAACAACTTTAGTCAGAACTACCAGCTGGACACTTTATATTTTTCTTATTTCAGAGTAATCTGTAAACACGGTGTGTGGGCCAGGATGTAATAACACACTATCTCCCCTTTTCAGTTTTCCATTTGGATTCCCAAGCATACTTTCCTTTGCTTTCTTGCTGATTAGCCCTTCTGCCTCTTCTCATCCTGTTCAAATGCATACCTGCTTATAGCTAGTGCATTCCTTGCATCAAACACACCATTATCCATGTCCTCTCCTTAAAGGGTCAATTTGGGGTTGCGAAGTAATTTAATATACACATGAGAATTCTCACTTGAACTCAACTGGTTGTTCAATGTCAAACACACTGGACTGTAGCATCTGGTTGCATTTCAACAGATGGTATGCTGATTATGTTCCTGGCTCTCAAGAGTTTGGTGTTAATTTAAAGAAGAAGAATGCACATCAAATAAGACAGTGTGAATTCTGAGATATTAGTAAAGTACTATTAACTGTTTGTCTCCCATTTAGGATCATCACTTCTTTCCATGACACAATAACTGCATCATAACCACACAAAGATGTGGAACCACATTTCTCTTGGAGCAGACTAGCTACAGAGCACAAATGATTGTCATTGATTGATTGGTCAAAGCATGGCTTTTTCTGTGTTACCATCTGGTTGAGTCATGTTACCAAGGTGATATGCAATCATCTGTCCTTGTAACAGCACCAGAAGTAGGAAAAAAAACTGGTTGTTCTGCATGGCAACTGAATTGCTACTGAATCACTATTTGCCTGGGGAGACCAGAAAGAAGAAACTCTCAAGGGCCTAAGGATACAGGGACAACCTCTACCCCCAACCCCCCATCCCAGGTGTAAGGACTGGGGAGCTGCCACCACCAGACAATTCTCTGAGCAAGACCAAGTAACAGGTGCAACTGTCTGTAAGCCCCCTCCCCCACTCCAATATGCCTAAAGTTAAGCTGTAACCAGTTTTGCAAAAACCATAGTAAAAAACAGAAAGCTGTTGGACACTTGGCTGTTAGACACTTCATAATACTGTACACTGACATTTTCAGTGTAGCAGCTTGAAAATACCCAAGGAAGGCATTCATTTAGTACTTGCCTTTGCTTGCAACTAGATTGGACCATGTCTATGAATGACAGATGGACAACTACAGTTGTTTCCAGCCTCTAGAAGCCCCTCTTCAATGCAGCCTGATATGGAATAGACTTCAGTCCCCTGCAGCTCAAGGCATGTGTTGAGCCAGGTTGGGTCTTTCCCTCCAGGGTACACAGCCATGTTTCTACAAGAAGTCTTGCCAATTGAGCAAGGGGTCACTTCAAGGCAAGTGCTGCTCCCCATTCCTCCAGCCTACTTCAGGAGAATTTGTCTTCTTGTCTGGTTTCAAATCTTGTACCAGGTTACCCCTGGTGTATTATTCCACATAATAGAAGCCTGGCCTATATTTCTCTGGGCTGATTCTGCCTGCTTCAGGACTTCCCAACTACTGGACCAGGGTAGAAATCTGTCAGTCCACTAGAGGTCAATGCACTGTGTTAAAGCAATACAGTATTTATTAGGTCAGAGCTCGTTTCTTTGGTTGTTATCACAAGGAACAATTACTGACATTCATGGATATTGCTTAACCTTGATTACTTAGCTGAGTATGTCAAATCCTCACAGATCATGCAGAATTAGAGCGCATCGCTCTCCTCCTGCAGGCTGCCTGCAATCCTCCCCAGGGGGTCCAGATCCCACCAGGGACCTTTCTTGTGGGAGGAGGATCACAACTATGATCCTATGAGAGCAGAGGGGTCTCATAGGGAGGAGAGAACTGGCTTCCCACCCCAAGGAATCCCTGTGCGATCCCTGGTTATCCATGGCAAGAACAGAGACCCACCAGCCAGTCACGGGGGAGGGAGGACAGCAAGGAGGACTCTGCAGCAGAAGGCAGGAATTACTTCTGTACATACACATGAGAGGCATTTGAAATTCTCTGTTTATGAGGTTAGGATTTTTTTGCTCTGCACACATTCAACATGCTCAAAGTGCTTTTTCCCTTCAGTCCCAAAGCACCACATAGACCAGTTTTTTTAAAAAAATCAGCTGAAATGTGAAGATGAAGAAAACTGAAAATGTTATCATGGGGTCTCCCATAAGGTGCAGGCATATTAAATAATTGTATTAAAAATAGGAACTCTAACTGTATGTAATTAATTTTGGTTACACTCATCCCACTTTCCGACTCCTCCATCCTGCACCTCATCCTGTTGGCCATGTGGGTCCTCCACCCTTTTTACAGGGTAATCTCTTCCATGCCCATGCTGGTGGTACATTGGGTGAACCCAACCACTGTTGCTTGTAAGCTGGGTCTATGGCTAAGTATAATGTGTGTATCAACCCAATGATGGCTTGTGAAACAATAACTTATCATGACTAGTCAACATCTTACCTTCAATCTCAGTGTTGGGATTTCCATACAGCCTCACCTCTCAGACTGAAAATGAAAAGTATTAAAACAATCAATTTATCATTCATTAATCTGATGTTACACTAACTGAACAATAAAATAAAACAAAGATTGTGTGTGGGTATGTGAGAGCAGATCTAGCCAAGCAGTAACTTTCTATTAAGTCAACTGATCCCCACCTATATATCACTGAGGGGTGATGTAGGATATCCTAATGTTGTTTGCAATGGTGGCATCCAATGAAACTCAGCTAGGTTGTAAGTTTGTGTTCCTAAAAGCAGTGGGTGGGGCGGGAACAACTCAGTCAAGAGGGAATATCAGGAGTTGTATTGGTTGAGGTTTAAGATCAACATCATTATTCCAACTCTTCCCACATTACCTAGATTGTAGGCAAATAGCTTTATTCACAATGTCCCTTTTATTATAACAAATACATATAATTAACACTGTGAATTAATTGCTCCCGAAAAATGACTGCATTATTTTTTCCTTTTTATTTCCTGTAATCAAGAGTCCAAATAAAAGTTCAGATTGCTTTTTCAGTACAAGGGAAACAATTCAAAGGAATCTCTGTTTGAATGATATACAATAGATTACGCAGGTGGCCTAATCACCAATAGCTCTGACTGAAGTGACATTTTTCCTGGCAGCATCTTCTTTATAGGCACCTTCTTAAAAGAAAGCCTTCTTGATTGCAAAGGCATGGGTACTGTGGCCCTTGCAGGAGCAGAAAAATCGGCAACTGGGGGTGTTGGGCATTCCTTCCCTCAAAGACAAGCGGGGGATGCTTTGGGTTCCATAGAAAGAAAGGCTGCAGATATCAAAGGAGGCATTCAAAGACCAAAGGCATTTGAAGATATCAGAGATCAAGGGTTTCACCCCAGCGGTCCTCTTGGCAAGGCCCTTTCATTGCTCCCTGGTGGATATCTGCTTCTGGCTGATGCCCTCCTCTCCCTCAAGAAAGTCCTTTTGCCCAGCTGCTGAGAAGAAAGCTGGACCAAAACAGGTGGCATTTAAGTGCTTTTGCAAACCTGCTGGGCCTGGGTTCCCAATATGACAGCCAGGGGCATCCCCAGGGGGAGTGTGTTAAAGAAGGCAAAAGGTGACCATGACTACACAGGGTCACAAACACGATCACCTTTTTGACCCCACTTCTGGGCAAAGGTCTTTAATGCAGAAGCAGTTGCTGGAATCACCAGTCCTGCAAAGTCAAGGACTCTGCATTTCATAGTCGGAGAACTGGAACAGTAGTAGGAATAAATACTTCCCATTTAAACTAAAAGCTTCCCCCACCAATAAAAATACCACAAAACAGTACTACAGCAGAGACACTGTTGATTGATCTCCAAAAGCTGGTCTTGCAAAGCTAGGCACTAAGTCCTTGGAGGGGAGACCACCAGGAAATCACAGAGCTATAGGCTAGATTGAAAGAAGGCACTGATTTTCACATTCTTGCCAAGAAAACTGCAGAGACATGTCTAGCAGGAGTTGAGCTTAATTCAGAGGAAACCTTTTGAGTTGTTATATGTTCCCCCCACTAAAGCGGTTGAAGTATTCCCCTTGAAGGACCCCATGTTGGCCTAACATGAGGTATTATACCAGCCCAACATTAACCTGATGCCTTCTGACTAACAGTGCAATTTCATGGAGAAAGCAGCAGAAGCAGTCTCCTCTTCTCTTGGTGCCTATATTGGGTTCATGTGCTAGTGACAATTGTGGTAAAAGTATCAGTCCTTCAAAGTAGATGAGGCTAGGAAACCAATGCCATGTAAGTCAAGTACTATTTTTGTTGTAAAGCCAAAGCAACAGAACTTTGGAAGTCTAAATGCACTTCATTACAGCAAGCAATTAGTTAAGGACATTAAGGGACACCAACTTACAGGTCATCAATATAATGCAAAAAATACCAAAATATCATTTCAACTTTCTGATAACAGTGCAATGAAAGTTCAAAACTCAGGTGGCAGTTTTGGAGTAGCTGAGATTGTAGAGATTAAAGTTTAAAGCCGACAAAACATCGTGTTTCTCTGAAGTCCTGATAAATGTACAGGTGGTTGCCATGTTGAGCAAGTTGACATTATTTAAGGAGCATAAACCATAGTGATGGCCGAAGTAGCTGACCTGGAAAGGCTATCTGGGAATGGGTCAGGCACAGGAGAGATTGCCAATAGAAATTGCTTGTTTTTTTCCTTCACTCCCCCCTCGCCGAGCAGAAAGATTGGAGAGGAAGGGATTACAAGAGAGTAAGCAGGCACACAATGAGGAATACACCAGGCTGTTTGTGTGCCAGCAGCAGCACATTGTTTTTGATGTGTATTCCTTATTGTGTGCCTGCTTACTCTCTTGTAATCCCTTCCTCTCCAATCTCTCCACTCGGCGAGGGGTGTGTGAAGAAAATTGACTCATTTGTTTAGTTGGGTTCTCTTTACAGATAGTCCTCAGTTAACAATGCTAACTGGGACTGGAAACTCCATTGCTAAGCAATGCAGTAGTAAGTCGAAAAACCATGTGATCATGCCACTTAGCAATGGCAATTCTGGCAGTCCCGGTTACTGATGTTAAGCGAGGACCATGTGGGTTGTTAAGCAAGGACCTCATATGACTGCAACTTGCAACTTCCTGCCAGCTTCCCCACTGACTTTGCTTGTCAGAAGCTGGCAGGGAAGGTTACAAATTGGAATCCCATGACCGTGGGATGTCGTGACAGCCATAAGTACAAAGATTGGTTGTAACTACCACTCATGCAGTGACATAAGTTTGAATGGTCGCTGAACGAGTGGTTATTAAATGAGGACCACCTGTATATAGTTTTAGGATGTATCTGGAGAACATACCATATTTAAGTCATATTTATACAGAAATAGTGAAAATTCAAAAGCGTTCACCACTGTGTGTGTGTGTATGTATGTATGTATGTATATACACATGTATATATGTATAAATATACTGTATACACACAGCTATATATTATTTAGCCATTGGCTAAAGAATTCTGACTGGTGGGGTTGAAGAGGAGAGCCTTTTCTGCCGTCGCCCCCACCCTGTGGAACATCTTGCCCCTTGAGACGAGGTTGGCCCCCACCCTCCTGGCGCTCCAGAAGAGCATGAAGACCTGGCTCTGCCACCCAGCACAGGGATCTAATGGGGACTCGCAGCACTGGGGGTGGTTGATGGTTTGATGATGCTTCCCTCGTCTTTTAACCCTGTATATGTCAGGTTCAGCCTGGCACGGCACACGGCACACGCCACTCAAGCTAGCCGCCATTCTGCCTAGCTAATTTCAAACGCGCCTAGTCAGTTTCCTTGCCTCAGGTGCAGGCGATCGAAAGAGGAAGCGCAAATGGCAAGTAAACTGCTGACAGGTGGCGGCAATCAACCCGCAGCAGGAATCAATTACTTTGTAACAAGCGGGACTTCCCCCAACCACCGCAGGCCAGCAGCCAACAATGAAGACAAAAACTCCGCAGCTCAAGACGCGCTCAACCGCCCATCAAGAGCAATCGTGAGTCAGCCTCACGGACCTGCCACGCAAACAAAGCAGCCGAAAACAAAGGACCCTGGCTGACCCTGCCACCAGCCCGGGGCGGGGAGAGCCAAGGATGGGCAAAGGCGGGCAGGGGCAGGCAGCAGGCGGGACTTGCTAAGCGCAAGAAACGGGGAGACTATAAAATGCTATGTAGCCTGTGCCAAGCTACCCCTGGCTTTGTTTGTAACCACAAGCATTTCGCCTGGGTAAGTTGCGTTCGTAAGAGCCTGCGTCTCACGGAGTCTTTATTCAGTGTTGAATG